GGTCCTATTATGTTAATGTATGTACCAAATTTGAACAAAATCCATCCATGCATAACTGAGATACGGGTCCGGAATGGTGAAAATGTGCGATTTCAATGCATTTTTGGCTTTAAAGCGGCCCCCATTTGGCTATCGTTAATGAGATCATGAAACAAATGCACATACGTATTTGTGACATGATGTACCTTGTGTGTGTGAAGTTTGAACTTGATCAATCCAGACATGTCTCGGATACGGATCCAGAACTGAATTCTTTCAAACAAAATGGCCGCCAGTCGGCTATTTCGAACTTGATCCGAAAACAAAATGACGTGCATCAAGGTCCTATTATGTTTAATGTATGTACCAAATTTGAATGAAATCCGTCCATGCATAACTGAGATCCGGGTCCGGAATGGTGAAAATGTGCGATTTCAATGCATTTTCGGCCTTAAAATGGCCGCTATTCGGCTATCGTTAATCGGATCATGAAAAAAATGCATGTGCATATGTCCCATATAATGTGTGATGTATGAGTGAAGTTTGAACTTAATCGGTCCATGCATGTTCGAGATACAGGTGATCACGGACGCACGGACGCACGGACGGACGGACGCACACAGGGCAAAACATAAGTCCCCGTTTTCGGACTGCGACCGAACGGGGACTAAAAAACTCGTAACGTATAGGACGCTTGAAACACTGATTTACAGGTTTGCCTTCCCAAATTCCGACTGTCCACACTCTTACGCCACAAAATCGTGTTAATGATGGACCATTATGATAGAAAATGAATTTTACACAAGTGGCCTTGCTTCACTTTCAGGCAAAGGTGATATCCCCCTACATCCGATCAATTAACAGTATGGTTACAAATCATTATTGTCGTGGTTTCGTGTCAGCATACGTGATACCATATCTGACAATATATTGAATCAATGTGAATATGAACGAAACAACTATTGCGTTGAACTGTATTGTTTGCAGAAAAAACATCCAGACTGACTCTCAACAACATTATATTAAAACCGTCAGAGTTAGTGTGACAGTTAGTCTATCTATGATCAACCGTATGATTCGCCCACCGACGGAGGACTAAACAAACTCATGAAATTTGCTAATTCAATAATGTAAGGCTGTTTCTTGGGTGGAAGTTGTAAAATGATAGTTGGTACTGTGTTTAATCTCTCCATGTAGCTACTCTAAGATAATTGTCTGTTGCGTTATTGCATTGAACATAGCTGCTGTACTTTGAATCTGAGCGCTGATCATTATGTATTATAGGGTTATTGTTATGATAAATGAACAAACATTTAACAAACCAAATAACAACTTGTATTTCCTAGTGTTATATCTATATTAATGCAGTTCTATGGCCACCGGTTATTTGTAAAAACAACGATACAAAGAAATTAATTATAGGGAGTTATTTCATTTCAATTCCCGGCGTTAAATTCATAAAATACAAACTTGTATTTGAACAGTTGGATTTTTTGTTTTCATTGAAACGTACAATTTCCATCCTAATGGTCTCAATGTGAAGTCCTCTAAGTGGCTCGTACGCAGGGAAAACTAAAAAAAAATATGAAATTATTATTACATCATTTTTAGGCATTCTCTTTTAGTGCCATCTCTTTTCCCTGTTTCAATTGGTGGACGGTCGACTCGTCCCAAATCACTTTCATCCCAGAAGTTAATTCGTCCCACAAGTTTATTCGTTCGGCCACAGTCATTCTATAAACTATAGAGGGACTGTGGTTCGGTTTAGGTTAATAGCCCGATACTAACTCGTGCAATAGGCGCAAGTGGTCTGAGATCTAATCGTGTTCAAACACTCATTGTGCATATAATAGGACAGTGCCCCGAAGACTGAACCCCATTCGTTTATTGCTTCACATTTGGCAATACGTTATTTTAACCCGTCAATTGTCAAATCAAGTTTATTCATATTTCATAATTATAGTGTAATTAAGTAAGAGGCAGCGGCACCAAATTTGGCATGGGGTGAGATTTGCTCACCAACCTTGTGCCGAATGCGCGACTTTACTTGGGGGTCCGGGGGCATGCTCCCCCTTAAAAAATTGAAATATAGACCCTCTGAAACGCTATTTCCTGCATTTTGAAGGGCAAATTTTGCTGACCCATGAATTTCAGCTTGATATTGGAGGCGCGACGCCCCCAATATTTTTTCTGCCTCCCCGTCTGCCCGTGCCACCGCCACTGTATGTACATATTCCTTCATTAAAGTATACAAGTAGCCTGAGGTATGTTGGTCCCCTGTTTTATATAGCAGACATGTCAGTAACAAGTAAACGGCTGGCCGAACCCACGATAGAAATCGACAAGACTTAGCACACGTAGGAAACTTCTAGAAGATAATATCACAAAAATGGCTTACAATGAGCAAAAGAATTCCTCTTATGATTATACATTGAAAATATCCTTAAAAATAATAATCTAAATTCACTTTCCGAAAATAACTTGTCAAAGCTACATTAAAAAAAAAAAAACTTATAAATACTGTTAAAGCAAGTATTCAACAAAGTAACATACATCAGTCTTTGGAGAACACAGATTACAAAAGATGATAGCAGACTAAGACATTTTGCTAAATTCAAAATGGAGTACAGTTATACTTTACTATGTACCTGTCAATTCATTTTTCTTTTATTTTTTCAATGTTATTTTGTACTGTATGTTAGTCCAGTTTTTGTAGACATTATTATTATTATTATTATTATTATTATTATTATTATTATTATTATTATTATTACGTCTAAATTGATATTAAATAGGCATCACCATGCACAAGATCGTAATTAGACTGAACAAAGTCAATGGAACGAAAATGTATTGGGACGAAAGTGAATTGGGACGAATCGGCTAGTGGGAAGAATGTGTTGGGACTACGTATTAAAGCATATTATTATTAGCAGTAGTAGTTATTGTCAGTATTGACTTCAGCGCGACATTAAACAGTGCACTGTGGTTATTTAGTGTTTGTTATTTTAATTCTAGCCATAATTGAGGCCTGAGGCATTACAATCGTTTGTTAGTCACAGCGCTCCTATAATCCAATAGTAAAAAACTGTTTACATTATTTGACTAGTAAATAACTAGTTTTTGTTAAGATCAGTCTTTTTTAAATGCTAATTTATATTTTTAGGAACCCCCTTCTGTCATTGGGTTGACTCGGGCTTCATTAGTGCCAGTAATATAAGAGATCTGTTACGAATACATGGGGAAGATAAACAACTATTTATAAGATCAGTTATAACTCGCAGTTTTATACTTTCCATACACATGCTTGGAACCCGAAGGGGGGGGGGGTAGTGGTGGTGACGTAATGATGTATCCGTCCCATCAAATTGCCATGATAATTGATCCTGTCTGTATATCTTGAACGGATGAATCTGATTGGTCGAGAGATCCAAATATAGAGCATCCTTATACTGCTGACATTTGGAAAATAATAGTTAACAACAAAACGCAATATGAGCTAAACTATTAAAAGCTTTAAAATGACAATACTTATTGTGATTAATTATGTAGACGGGCGTGGTCGTACGTGAGAGTTTACTGTCGAATACTTCCCCCATCCTCGACTAATAGCAAGAGCCGTTACATATGCGACAAACATGTTGCCGCCATGTTAACCTTCATAAATGAAGTGAAGCTTGCTTTTAACGATACATAATTCGTCCGCATTATGAGATATTTTCGTAACATATTTTAGTTATATGCTTATGTATTTACATCTCTTAATTTTATATCCAGTAATAACTTACACACTCCATCTATATTTAATTTAAAACGCAGCCATATCAATTAAGTTCTTCGAATAGTGTATTCACAAATACAACACTACAGCCTAAGTTTTTTCCGGAGGGCAGCAATGGCGACCCTATGTTAGCTAAATGACACACTTGTTTTATAATTTTTCCGGCCCTCTTTCCGGCTCCTTCATCGTTGCACTGTTGAAACAGTTACTCAAGCCCAGAGTTAAGGCGTCACAAGATATACCCGCCGTCTTTCGTCTTATCTAGGCGTCTTGGTAAGTTATATTTTAACTAAAAAAAGTTGGTCAGTTAAGAAATTTCCGGTTAAAATGTAAAGTACGACGTTTGACTTGTTCCGCCACCAAGCCCAGTTTCCGCCATAATACTGTTCCAACATATCTAAAACGCCAAGCCACGTATTTAAATCTCATGTCATATTGGTTATTATTTTCTTTAGAAACGCAAAATGATTTCCATATTCGAACGACAGTTGTCACGCTTGCTGCTGGCGCTGAAAACGAGGAAGTGAATGTACTTGAGTACTCGCTCTGATATGCCAACCCAGGCGTGAACAATTCACTTACTAATATGTCACCTTGCATGTTAATTTCAGTGATTTCATCCAGTTCGTGTGATTAATTTATTGATTGTGCATGTCGATGTTTTGATTAATTGTGTGGAGTACATGTTGTGACTGATTCAGTGATTTCAAGTTTCATCCCACCATTATTAGTACTGGCGACTAAACTTCAAATGCCTGTTACCCCTGTATCGCATTTAGCCTCATAAAAAAAGTAACTCTATTCTTCATGGCATGGTATACATTAGCTGTGGTTCTGAAGCTCCAGATTTTAACCCATGTTACCGTAGCTTTATTTTATTCTTGTTTGATCACCATGTTTACCTATTTGAGTTACTTTCATTTAGACATACTGTGATAATATAGATCAACTCTCTCGTCAATGTAGATGACGCTAGATAACATTAACATAGATAAATTTTCAAAACACGATTGTGAAATTTTGTAATAAAAATATTTCTTTAAAATAGACTACTATTGCCCCAAAACAACAAAAGTTCTGCCATTGATATCCCATATTTCCTAGCACAGGCTGAACAAATTCTAGCTTGTTGATCAGGGAAATTCATTTATTTACATTGTCAAATGACCATTAGATACATTGGTTATGTTCACAGGGAATACACTATTGTTTTGTCTAAAACAAAATTAGCCTGTGGATTTTTGTTGGGATTGAGCCATAGACAGCAATTCACAGACAAGTAATTAATTGTGTTTTTTTATTAATTTTTCAATATACATATATTCCACAATGTACAAGATAGAAATGCAAGTCGTTGCACTGTAATGTTATTTGTTTCCATTTCTGTCCACCAGCATGCAAATGTCTAAAAACAAATTTTGCGAACTGAGCGATTCAAGTTGTGATCTACTGTGGGAACGTTGCCTTGTAAGTTGTTAAATTAACAGGGAGGCATACATGTACATAACAATAGCAGTGAATATCATTATTTTATCTGGGATGCGAAAGACAAATACTTAGCACCCAATCATTGTGACTGTGTATAAACTACACTCGTGAGAGATGATTAGCATGTGCTTACGTAAGTCACCTGTTAAAACAGTAAGCACAAGTTGACCTGCATCTAATCAAAACAAGATGGCCCACAAGTTATTGTAGATGATGTTTTAATACAAATATAGTTTGAGATAGCACTGTGGCATCATGGGACATTATTGTCACATTGTGAATTTCTACATAATGTACATTGTTAATACAGTAGTCTGGATTCACATACGGGTTTAACATTAAAAATTAAAGATGGAAAATATGAATACAATATAATTTGAAATATAATTTCCATCATCCTATCACAAGTCTTAAAAACTCTTGAAGACAATTTTGAACTACTGAATTTTGGTCAGGCAGTAAAAAAAACTGAAAATATACTAAAAGTATCTTTATTAACCTGTTCACATGAACAGGCCATTTGTAAATTTACTCATTCGAGTTAGAATCTGCTTGTCTGGGACAGGTGGACAGGCCTTAATAGAACAGGGACAGGCAATTTGTACATTTACGCATCCCAGCTAAAATCTGCTTGTCTGGGACAGGTGGACAGGCCTTATATTTGTAACTATAATCTGAGTTTTTGTGGGTACATTTATGGCAAGTATCAGGATACCTTTTTAGTTACCATCAGTTTCACAAATAGAAAATTAAATTTAGATTTCTACCCTGTTGGGTAAATTCTAAAATGAAAGCTTTGTGTACATGTAAAATCTTATTTTTATCAAAAATATGCTTGTCAAATCGCGAAGCTTCCACAATATTGCTTCTTCAGTTAAATTCAGAAACTTCCACAAAGTAGATGACATCATATTATAGCATGTTTGCAACATTGAACAAGATCATATTCAAGATGTCTGTTAATGTTGCTCTTAAGCCAAATATAAACAAGCAAATATAGTAAATTTAATTTTGTTCAGGTTCAACATGACTAATGCTGAAATGGCATATTAATGGTATAAGGTTTTAGTGTCAGATCTCAAATTAACAGTTCTTGAAGCCAGCTGGATTACCAGATTTTAAAAGTTGTTTCCATGGTAATATTGGGTAGTCTATTAGATCAGTACAGGCTTTTAAGTAGCCACCTGTCTACAGGCATTCCACATTTTAAACATTCGCAAACACATGTGATTACTCATTACATGTAATTTGTTTAGAATAAGCTTCAAAGTCAAACTTATAAATATCAAAATTATTTATGTTGTGTCAATTTCTAGTGTATTTCTAGAACTTTGGAAAATGAAAACTCGTGACAAAAGTTGGTGACTGCATGTCCTTGGGCTACTGTTTATTTTGATGTCTGAGGTCATGAATGATTATTATCTATATACATGTAGTTAATTTTTTTTTGTATGGCTTCACCCATTGTGTGTGGCCTGTTGTGCGTGTTCAGGTTCTTTGGAGGCTTGTTGATTCTGTTGTGCATTTTCAGGTATATCAGTACAAAATGTACCTGTTTTTGAGTCTATCTGTACTTTGGAGGTTGGTGAATTCAGGCTTGGAATCATCTTCAATATGGTTTGATGTAGTGATGTGAAACAGTTGTGATTATTTATGATAGCTTCAAAAGCATGCATGCATGCACGCAGTTGGTTGTAAAACTCGTAATAAAACTGTTTTACTCTATTTATTTAACTTTTATTTTGTTACTTTTGTTATTTTCAATCCAATGAATATAAATTTTAGTGATGTTTTGCATTTTTGTAATTATGATATCGTTTGTGAAAGTCCATGAGACTGTATTTAGGACTCCTGTGAAATTTAGCTATTTTCACTCACTTGTGTAATTTGTAATAATTTGTCTATCAGAAAAGTTAACCACTTGATAGTATTACAACTCAAATACATAAAATTTGTCACAGCTGAATTAAAACAGTATTCCATAAGTTTTAGTTATCTTGTTATTTTTAAATCTGGAAGTAAAACAATATTATCATAAAACTAAATCTGGTTTACCTCCATGGTATCACTGGCCACTCCCTTGCCCAGATCGTGCTTGATTGTTTGAATATGCAAATTGGTGTCTGTAGACACAATGAAGATGGTTGTGGTGTGACCTACATGTCAGTGTAATGACCTTGTATAGACTGAATAGACAAATCGTCATGAATATTGTGATACGCTAATATCCTTTCTTTTTCACTAATATGCGTTATATATGTACATTTATAAGATAAAACCAGATATTTGTAATATATAATAGTGTGGTCAGACCTTTGTAATAAGGTTTGTGGCATACACATGCTGTTACGTATCTGTTTTAGCCCAACACTCATTAAGGTAGAGATGCAGATTCGTGGGAGTAAAATTTTTTTTTTTTGCTTTTTATTATCCAAACAGCCTTGGCTATAGACTGTTGAAATTTTGTAGAATTGTGAATAGTGGAACATACTCAAAAAACGATTTTAAAATATAGATAACAGGTGCAAACATTATCTCTTTTGAATGCTTAGCAAGATTTAGCAAGGCTGTACATAAAAAAGAAACATGTTGAAAAAAAGAAATGACAGGATCTCCATATTATGCACTATATTTAACTTTTAACAAAACGATAATACATTTAAATTTGGAAATGTTACAGCCATTTTAATTATGAGCATTAGCAAACTTCTTACTGAGTGAATTGTTATGCAAATTAGCAATTATCTCAGCTTCTTTTTAGTGCACATCCCAGAACTTGAAAAAAAAAAAGCTCCTAGACGCTTTGACCCTTTGTTTTGAAATTTTCACAAATGATTGACAATGTGTTTATCTTCAAAACGCGGTTGGGGCATTGTTTTTGGTTGAACAGTGTTACAACAATTGTACAGACAACTAGCCTGGGTGTTAATTTATGCATAAGCTTGAAGTAGTGAAATTTGAGCTGCTGCCCTGCAAAATTGACAATTGGTAGACAGTTTTCAAGACGGCACTTTTTTCATAGTAAACAAATGTACCCATGAACCAATTTTGACAGGAAACTGAAGCATGGTTTAGAACCTATTTTTTTAAAATCACTTTTGACCAAAAAAGCACAGTTTTGTGCATATTTCAAACTACAGTGTCCATAAAAAAAAAATTCTAACAAAATTTTAAAATTCATACAATAAGCTTTCCGAAAATATATAGTTTTGTGGACAAGGGAGGTCATCTTGGTTTCCTAATTAACTGATTAAAATACCTGTCGGGTAAACTGCATCTCTACCTTACATGGATTCATAAATAACTTTTTTCTAGATTGACAAAAAACTCAAAATTATATTTTTAGTAAAGTCCACTGAAATTATTTGTTTTCTTAACATTACGTGCATCAGTTAATATTGTGTGTTCCATGATATTTAGAATTTAAAAAAAAAGCAAATGAAAAATCCAAATTTTAGTGGAATTTCACAATAGAAGCACATGTTTCATGTTAAAACTACTACACATTGGTAACAAATTCATCAGTCGTTTTTTTTTTCTGGGTCTAATACACATATGTACATGTAGCTGTTATTTTTTATTTACGTTATTTAATACATTTCGCTGGCTAAAACATTTTAAAGCTGCCTGTTTGACATACTGCAGTGCCATTTACCAACTTGTTAAATGCAACAGGTAGTCAAAGGATAAAAATCGAAAATTAGTTCACTTTTTTTGTATGAGAATATGTGTATGTATATAGTTAGATTTTACTATGCAGTTAAACATTCACAGAAACAATATGT